TCTCTCTCTCACTCTCTCTTAAAAAAAAAAAAAAAAAAAGAGAAGCCTTTATATACTTTACCTATAAATTATTCTTATATGCTACTAACACTGTAATTTCACAGAGGAATACCTGGTTTAGGGTATTGTTGGGCAGTTAAGATAAATAAGACAATCAAGCTTCACTGATCCAAACTCCAGAAGGGAAGGACAGAGGAAAGAATATACATGAGTCCCAGATAAGCATAAACCTTACCACAGCTATGTGCTCCAGCTCCTTTTCCCTCCTTGTCTCCTTCTAACCACAAATAGTCAAAGGCAGGAAATAAGAGGGAGGAAGGAGATACAGTCAACCAGTCTAAAGGACAGAGCCAATGCAAGAATTCTCATAGATATCTGGGACTTAGAAAACCTCAATGACTTACTCTACATCAAATCTGGGATGGATTCTGAATACGCCATTATGAATTAACACATTTGGAAATTAAAATCAATACAAATGGTTGTATATTCTTTTGGGTTCTCTGTACCTTCTCAATCCATTACTTGTAAGCATTTTGGCCCTTGGGCTATGTTTTTTACAATGACACTCCATAAAGGTTTCATGAAGAACAACATAGGTCTCTTTAGCCAGGTTACATCTGGCAAGGTACCACCGCAGTTGCCCCATCATCAGCCTCTCCTGGACCCCACAGCACTTTCTTTTATCCTTCCCATTCCCTTCTTTTCCAGTCCTTCTCTTCCTTCTCTGCCTGTGGAATTTAAAGAGGCTGCTAAAATAAATATCCACACCAATACAAAGGTCTAAAAGGCCAACAACTTCCATTTGAGAAGGGAGCCTAAGACACACTGGAGTATAGTCTCTGAGGCAAGAAAAACTTTTCTAAAAACAGTGTAAATGAGATGGACTCTGACTCTCATTTATATGAGTTGTTACTTAAATTCTCTGTATCTCACCCCTCTTTCTGCTAAATGGGGCCAATGACATTTCTAATAAGTTTCTAGAAGTGGCCGTGGCTGATACAACCAGGCACAGTGGCACAGGCCTCTAATCCCAGCAACTCTAGAGGCTGAAGCAGGAGGACTGCAAGTTCAAGGCCAGCCTTAGCAATTTAGTGAGACCCTGTCTCCAAAAGAATAAAAGGCTCAGTGTAACTCAGTGGTAGAGTTGCCTCTCTGGGTTTCTGGGTTCAATCCCTAGTAACAAACAAAACAAAATAGAAAAAAATAAATAAATAAAATAAAACAAAAAACAGGACCTTGTCATGTTATAATTAACATGTACACAGTAAAGATCTGAAGAAATACACATTTCCTTTTGTCATACAATTTCTAAGTAACCCACTGAAGAACTTTTCCAGAAGCACTGGATGGAGGAATATTCTGACACTGAAGACAAGAAAACCAGGTTTGTGAACTGAAAAGATGACATAAAACACACAGCTGAAGGTTCAAAAGGCACAGTGGATAATCAGTCGTCCCAATCTCCAGAGAAGTGGCTTGATCCAGCACTACCTTGACGGGAAATCACTACAAAACAAGGCAAGCTTTTACACTATCCTCACTCACTAGAGTAATAGGTAAGAGGCTTTGGTTGGGCTGTGAACATGTACTGGACCCAAGATCCTTTCACAGTATTTCATATGCCCCATCCCTCCTATCCCAGCCCTATTCCCTAATGCATGCTGTTTCACTAGTGCCTACCAACATACACTATGCAAGCCACAAACCTCTTAAAGCTGAGAATGGTTTTCCATTGTGCTGTAACTACCCCATTCCACCTCATTTATATTCATAGTATTAGCCTATGTGTGTGTGTATGTGTATCTATCTTGTTGAATATTTATTCAATATGCAAGACAGATTCATAAGTATTTAATATACTTAAGTTCATTTAATTGACTATGAGGTCAGTGTTACTATTTTCCCTCTTTCACACATGAGGAAAACTAAAGCAGAAAAAAAGTTAAATAACTTGCCCCAAGTTACACAAGGAATACGAGGCAGATTAAAAAAATTCAAACCCAGACTCCAGAAATCAGGCTTATAACTCCAAGTAGTGACAATGTACAACTCACACTCATTCAGTTTTGTGGACTCTACTGGTCAAGGTCCAGTAGTTCCTCATTGTTCCAAGAGGAAGAAATTAGTGGATCAATTGTTGCAAGTCTTCTCAAGAGGTTCATCTTGAAACTCACCCTGAAAGAATATGACCAGTAGACTTGATCAAACCCTTCCATATAGCCTTGGAGCACAGCCAGGGTGCTCCTAGGCTATGGCAGCAGAGGACTATGGGAGCTAAAGATCTAAGATAAGTTAACATAGGTTCATTGCAAAGGTTGAGAATCATTAGCCTATTCTATCCCTATGCCTCTAAAAATTATACTAGGGATGGGGTTATAACTCAGTCATACAGCACTTGCCTAGCATGCATGGGTTTGATCCSCAGCACTGCAAAAAACAAAACCTAAACCTCCACACAAATTTTACCTAAGGTTATGTACAAAAAATACACCATGTAGGGCTAGGGTTGTGGCTCAGTGCACTTGCCTAGCATGCGTGAGACCCTGGATTCACTCCCAGGAACCACATAAAAATAAACAAACTACAATTACAAAATAAATAGATTTTTAAAAAATACACTATGTAATTTTAAGCACAAAGTGCACCTCCATATTCAATGTGCCAAGTAGGTTTTTAAAGCCTCTTTATCATTGACTTAGATAGCAAATGTGTACTGTCCAGGTGCTAAAGCCAGTTTTCTTGTCATCTTTTCCTTCTGGTCTTTAAAAAGAACTTGGGACCCGCTTGGCAAAGTAAGTTTTGAGGACAGTCCTCTACGTGCACTACTGGGATCCAAGAAAGGTTACACAAAAAAGGGACAGAATGCCTGAGTTCAAATTCTGTCACTTACAAGCCTTGTAACCTTAGACAAATTACTGAATGTTTCCTTATCTGCAAAATTAAAATACTTTAATGAATGGAGATCACAGTACTTCACTCACTAGATCGTTAGAGAATAAATGAGATGAGGCAAATAAAGGTACTCAGCAAAGTACCTGATATAGAATAGCCAGTCAATAAATGTTAGCTATTAATAATGTATACGCTTCTCAAAAATTCAAGAAAATTCTCTGCGTGGCTTCAAAAGAAAAAGCTTAATGGAGAGGAGAAGATTAAGTAATCATTATAAAGACAACAAGTGAACCAACTGTCCTACACAAAAATACAGGACACAAAGCATGTGGAAAATAGGGTAAACACTATCCATGAGCTTTCCACACCCCATTCACAAACTTTGGCAATCTTTACCTTCTCTCCTAGGCTAAGGATCTGAATTCTTATATATTTTGAAAAGGTGGAGCTCAATAACAAGGTAAATGATGAGATATAAAATCACAATGCAGAGGTATAGAGAAATACAAAGTTAACAAACCTGTCTGCTGCCATTTCCAAATTCTGCCACCAAAATACACATACATAAATAAACTGTTGAGAAATTAATTTCAATGATAGTTTACCATCATGTTATTATAATTAATTCAAAACCCTATATACTTTGCATATGGCATCAAAATAGAATTTATCTGGTTTAGGACAATATATGTTGCATCAATATGCCTAGTTCATGTTATAACCATTATAATGGTATTAAACTGACCAGATGATAAAGATTTTGGATAATCAGTGAACTTAAAGACACCACACTCAATAGTATAATTAACAACAGAGACTGCCCATCTCCCTATTTCTGGTCAGAGGGTGTAAATCTAAATTAGGACTATCCTCAAAAGGCAAGTCTGCAAAGACAGGCACAGACACCTCCTAATTCACATGAGACTGGCCTGGATCTAGTCTCAGCTGGTTAGGAAGAAACTACTTCTATTTGGGAACAGTGAGAAGGCACTAATGACTCTTGGTGCTGTTCAGACAATGGTAACCTCAGAATTATTGTGTGTCTCACACATCTCAAGTACTAAGTGAATATATTTCCTTAATATTCCCCAAACAATCCCAATTACATGGGTAAGACAGTCACATCTCAATGATCCTTAACAAGAAAGACAAAATGGGATGACTTAAATTCCTGCTCCAGGAGGGTTTGTTTCTGGTACCCAGGAAGAAGGGCCACAACCCCAACTTACTCAACAAGAAGAGGCCAAGAAGTACAAGACAATGTTAAGCTCAAGGAAAATTAAATTCCATTTACTTCCAGGGAAGGAATTGTTCCCTTAGATAATTTCTGAGATATTTTGGGGGTGGGAGACAGCGGCTCTTTCTTCCACTAAACACTCTGAAAACTAGAACCCCCTAATTGTGGTGGACAGTCTTTCAGACAGTAAGATATCCTGGATACTGGCAGACATCAACTTATTCTGGGCTGGTCATACAAGGCTTTCTTCTATCACCAAGGCACTTAGCTCACCACCTTCGTCCTCCACAGGGGAAGAGGACGGTAAAAGCATTTTGGAAAAATGCCCAAGAAAGGAAAAAGCTGACCGGTTTCCTGAGGGTGTCTCCATCCCTCCCGGCCAGTATGTGGTGACTTCCTATCAAAGGCCACCAGGGGAGTATGGCCAAACCCAGTTCTCCAACACTGCAGGAAATGTTTCAAGCCTAAAAGCCACTTGTAGGATTATCGGATTCATTCTGGGCACTGCTGCCAAGTGATGCCCCCGCAGTGCCAACATCCCCCTCAGTTCTTTGTCCCCACATTGCCCGGCCCTGCCCTTGTGCTTGGCCCGGGCGCCAGCCCCACCCTGGGGCCGAAGCAGTTCCCCTTCCCCTGGGCTGTCCTCCCAAGGCACACCCAGAGGCCTGGGTCAGCGGCTCCTCCTCCCCCACACACCACCGCTCGACAGTGGGAACACGCCTGGACAGCAGGCTGCCCCCTGACAGGATCACTTCAGCCCTTTGCCCATGTCCCTCGTGGGGGTCAGCGCGACAGGAGCAGCCGGCCAGGCTGGGAGTTCTGCGGCCCTCACCCCCGCCCGGGGCCTCCCATTCCCTCCGTCCCTCACCGGGCGGAGGCTGTGCGGGCGATGGTGGCACCGGTGGGCGCGGGCCGCTGCTATTGATGATGTAGTGTGAGACACGCGAGTTCTCGGAGACGCTGAGCACATAGTCCCCGGGGCTGGTGCTCGAGTCCCGCACCAGGAACACCCCGTGCCGCTGGCCCTGCAGCAGTGCCACTGCCTCCTGCCGGCTCAATCGCCCCCAGTACCAGCTACTCCGCTCCTCAGAGTCGAAATTGCCCGCCATGGCCACCTCCGCGCCAACACGCTGGGCCGCCGCCGCCACGCGCGACACTCCAGCCCCGGCGCCCGCCGCCCAGCGGACCGGCTCGGGTCTCACCCTCACAGCAGCGCCCGAAATGGCGGCGGCGGCCGCGGGCCTTCCCCACCGGAAATGACGCGCTCTCTGCCCTAGGGAGGCTGCCGGGAAGGGAACCGCAGCCCGCCATTGGGAGAAGGGCAAAGGAGACTTCGCGCTCATATTGCGCATGCGGCCTCATGGGCGTCGCCGCCTGGCTCGAACCGGGACTGCAGATGGGGAGGCGGAGCCTAGGTAAGGGGCGGAGCCTCAGCCCGCAGTCTGCAGAGATTAGTGTTTGCTGGGTTGGCAGAGGAGTTGTTCTTTCCATCAGGYTTCAAGTTTTTAAAGGCCTAAGACTTAGAGGTAGCCGCTCTCATACAAGAATTGGCTTAGAGTAGGTGGATGAGGCCCCAGGGCCTCAGTTCTCGGCAAGCCTCCCAGATAAATTGTGTTCTTTCTGCAGGTTCCTCTGACTTCCGCTAGGCCAGCTAAAGTTCTTTTTTTCACTGATTCATTCAGCAGTTATTGACACTGTATTTGCTTTGTGGCTGCAAATTCCGAATTCACAGACCAGTGGGAGGAACCAGGACACAATGACGAAGGAATGACAAAAGTTGTGATGGGAAGCTGACAAGGATACTGAAAAGCCCCCTAATCAAAAGGGCTTTCCAAAAGAGGTGGCTCAAGTTGAATGTCATAGGGCAACCTGGGAAGGGTAGTCAAGGCAAAGGGAACAAAGTGTGCGGGGCCAGGTAGAAGAATGAAGTTTTTCACTCTATTGCGGCTCTCAGGTCACCTATCCAGACTCCTGTAAACCTTAAAACGTGCCATAGGTATCTCCTACCCTCACTGCCTTCTGCTTTCATGACCATCTCTTGACTATATTTCTGTGAACAGCCTACCTGCTGTTGCTCTTTAGTCTGGCTTCCCCTAATTACAATGCACACAGCTGTCAATGAGAGTTATCAAAAATATAAATCTGTTGTTACCCTGCATAAAACTTTTAACAGCCTTCAGGTGTTAAAATTCCCAGTTTGGCTCGCAGCATAGAAATAGGTCACAATCCCATCTTAACTGCTCCTACATGAGCCCTGTGTTTCTTTTTCCTGGGATGCTCTTCCATCCCCTTCAGGATCCCACATTCAATTGTCTTCCCTTTCCTAACCACCCTATCATACCTTCTCTGCACCCGCAGTACTATGTCTTACCCTTTGCAAAAGAATTTTTCATTTATAAGCTAGAGTTCTTCAAAGGCCAAGCATCTAACCAGGTGTGTGCTGGCACAGACTCACTTGAGACCCGGAGTTAGAGGCCAGCCTGGGCAATGTAACCAGATCCTACGTTTATTTTATTTTATTTTTTTTTTTTTTTTTTTAAAGAGAGAGAGAGAGAGGAGAGAGAGAGAGAGAGAGAGAGAGAGAGAGAGAGAGAGAATTTTTAATATTTATTATTTTTAGTTTTCGGCGGATAGAACCCGGGCCGCACCCATGTCAGACAAGCGCACTACCGCTTGAGCCACATCCCCAGCCCCTATTTTATTTTTTTTAAAGAGAGAGAGAGAGAGAGAAAGAATTTTTAATATTTATTATTTTTAGTTTTCGGCAGACACAACATCTTTGTTTGTATGTGGTGCTGAGGATCGAACCATACCAGGTGAGCGTGCTACCGCTTGAGCCACATCCCCAGCCCCAAGATCCTACGTTTAAAAAAAAAAAAGAAAGAAAGAAAGAAAAGAGAAAGAAAGAAAAGAAAAAGCCAAGAATCTAATCTAAGAGGTGCTTCATAAATGTTTCATAACATTGTTATAAATTGTTGCATAACAGCAACAATTTATTCTTGGATTACTAGGGCCAAGCATAAAGCTAACTGTCTTTTATGCATTATCTCATTTAACTCTTCACAATATTATGAGCCAGCATTTTATAACTATCCCCGTTTCACAGATGAAGAAACTGAAGTTCAAAGAGTTTAAGTAACTTGTCTGGAGATACCCAGTTGCAGAGTGAGGAGTTCACATTCAAATCCTGAAAGAAGAGAGCTCTGACCACTCTACTATGTCCTCAAATTTCTGGGATTAGCAAGGGTGGCAGAAATCTACATTAAAAAGTAAGCCATTCCTAGATTATAATCTAATGAATAACAGATCTTCAGGACCCACCTCACACACCCCTAAACCTGTTCTGGGAAATGGGGGCAGGGAAAAGGGCACCTTCCCTTCTATAGATGACTCATCCTCACCCTGGTTTAGTCACAGGGTGTCACAGGAGCAGAAGCCATCCCAATATGAATTCTTTTTTTTTTTTTTTTTTTTAGAGAGAGAATTTATTTTAATATTTAATTTTCGGCGGACACAACATCTTCGTTGGTATGTGGTGCTGAGGATCGAACCCGGGCCGCACGCATGCCAGGCGAGCGCGCTACCGCTTGAGCCACATCCCCAGCCCCCAATATGAATTCTTGTTCTTTGGGAAATAGGAGTGCCTGACTTCATTTCCCAGGTTCAAGACAGGACCTCACCAGAGGCTGCCTGTGAAGTTCCAGGCCCCCTCCTTAGAACAAGGACAAGACAAAATATTATGAAAAGATAGCACACGTCTGTAATCCCAGTGGCTCAGGAGGCTGAGATAGGAAGATCATGAGTTCAAAGCCAGCCTCAGCAATGGTGAGGCGCTTAGCAATTCAGTGAGACCCTGTCTCTACAAAAAAGAGGGCTGGGGATGTGGTTCAATGGTTGAGTGCCCCTGATGTCAATCCCTGGTGCCAAAAAGAAAAAAGGTATGGGGATGTGACTCAGTGGTTAAGCGTTCCTAGGTTCAACCCCTAGTATCAAAAAATTAAATAAAAAGGAAGAAGCCAGGCATGGTGGCACATACCTATAATCCCAGAGACCTGGGAGGCTGAGCCAGCAGAATTACAAGTTCAAGACCAGCCTCAGCAATTTAATGAGACCCTAAGCAACTTAGTGAGACCATGTTTCAAAATAAAAAATAGAAAGGGCTGGGATGTAGCCAAGGGGTAAAGGACCTCTGAGTTCAATCCCCACACTATAAAAAATAAAAGTAAAATAGTCATAACTGAGTTGGAAACCCAGACACTAAAATATGTCCCTTTTTTTTTTTTTTTGGTACTGGGAATTTAACCCAGGGGTACTATATCCCCAGCCTGTTTTATTTAGAGACAGGGTCTTGTGAAGTTGCTTAGAGCTTTACTAAATTGATGAGTCTGGCTTTGAACTTATGATCCCTCTACCTCAGGATTATAGGTACATGCCACCATGCCCAGCTGTGTCCCTACTTGGGGCACAGAGAGTCTACAAATCTAGAGGCCAATGATATGGGATCATAAGTGGCCTTGAGACAAGAACTTAATAGGTCCATCCTGCCCCTTCTTCCTTTATTTTCTCTTTTCCCTCCCCTTTCCTTCATACCTAAGGATTTTAGCTATAATGGCTTTTTTGGTCCCCTGATAAGCCTGAGACCTACCCTGCAAAGTCAGTGATTTCCTTCATTCCATTCCTAAAGGAGAGGCTAACACACAGTAGCCATTCAGTAAATATTGGCTGAATGAAGAAATGAATGAAGAGTCAAAATGGGCTTCTTAAAATTGGCAGAGATCCCCTAGATTTCTCTCAGAATGTCTGCTGAGGTCAAAATTCATCCTTGGTTACCTTTCAAAAGGACAGAGTCACTGGACACAATAGTACATGTCTACAGTCCCAGATAGATACTTAAGAGGCTAAGGCAAGAGGATCACTTGAAATCAGGAGTTCAAGGCCAGCTTCAGCAACTTTCTTTCTTTCTTTCTTTCTTTCTTTCTTTCTTTCTTTCTTTCTTTCTTTCTTTCAGGGGGTGAGGATTGAACCCAGGGCCTTGTGCATATGAGGTAAGCACTCTACCAACTGAGCTATATCCCCAGCCCCAAGACTGTATTAAAAAAAAAATTACAGGAGCTGGGGTTGTGGCTCAGAGGTAGAACACTTGCCTAACATGTGTGAGGTACTGGGTTCGATTCTCGGCACTGTGTATAAATGAACAAAATAAAGGTCCAAATAAAGTAAAATAACACCAATTTAAAAAATATAGAAACCAGGCATGGTGGTGCACACCTGTAATCCCAGACATATGGAAAGTTGAGGCAGGAGGATTGTAAATTCAAGGCCAGCCTCAGCAACTTAGTGAGACCCAGTCTCAAAATAAAAGGACTGAGGGTATAGTGTAGCTCAGTGGTAAAACACCTCTAGGTTCAATCCCCATACCAGAAAAAAAAAAAAAAGGAAGAATCACCTCAGCTGACCCCTGTGTTATGTGTGTGACATCAATCATTTGCAGATGCTCCAATTTGCTAGAGAAGGAAGTGTTGTTACAGTTATAAAGTTGTAATTGCATGGAACTCAATGTCTATCTTATCTATGTGCTTCATGGAACTACTGTTACTACTGATAAGAGTAGATAAACGATTGTGGTGGTTTCATTTTTCTGAAAATAAAATTTAGGGGAAGGTATCAAATATATATGTGCTCACAGGATGACAACATGCACCAAATAGTAATCTATTGTTTGGTACTCATTGAGAACTTCCATCCTAAACTGGCACAATGGTTTGGTGTACACCTGTAATCCCAGTGACTTGGGAGTTGAAGGCAGGAGGAACACGATTTCAAGACCAGCCTCAGCAACTTAGTGAGACTCTCAGCAACTCAGTGAGGTCCTGTCTTAAAATTAAAATAAGGGCTGGGGACATAATTTCAGTGGCAGAGACTCCCTGGGTTCAATCATCAGAACTACTAAATAAAGACTGAAGATGTAGTTCTTGGGTTCAATCCCCACTACAAAAAAAGAGAGAAAAAGAAAATCCTAGGTGAGGAATCTCAACACCCTAGGCCCGTAGCCTGAAGCCCCGCTCCACACCAAAGCTTTTCCTTGCTTCTAAGTCCTGCATGTGCCATTTCTTCTGCCCACAATGTTCCTACCCTTGGGAAAGCCCTTAGCTGCCTGCTGATGAGCTGTGGTTGCAGCCTGCAGCACTCACTTCCTAGCTTCTTGGCCAACACTGTTTTTCCTTTGGAGAGTCATCTACTCTCTCCTACTCTTGGTCCTTGCGGTTGGGTGTGGTTCTGGTAGCATCCGGCTGCAGGACAGACACATGACCCAAGTCTGGCCAATCAAAATACAGTTTTCTAACTTCAGGGACTGGATGGGAGCCTAACACCTCATTCAAGTTGGTCCACTGATTTTCACCTCCCAAGACTTTCAAATTATTGGGGAATGGGCACTTTCTTTTTCTATCCTCCAAGGCTAGAGCCACTAGCAGCTGCTGCTGTCACTTTGCCTTGAGGGTAGTACCTGCTCACATCTCCACAGAGAAAAACTGAGCCAAGAGCCGATTTCAGATACATCCCTGACAGTATCTTTTGAACGCCTAGAAATAGTACCCCCATCCCAGATTGTTAAATTGCTAATGCTGACAAATTTTCTTTTCTGCTTAGATCAGTTTGGATTGGGTTTATCCCTTTTGACAGAATTGGGACTAGAGGACCTGCCTCAAATTTCTTCTTCTCTACAAAATGTTTATTGCTCTTGCCCACAGGAGCTGATCTCTCATCAGTGTGCCTTTGGTCCTCGCACCACCACACTGGACTGGGCCTCTGTCCCGCAGCTCGGCTTGCCCTGCCAAACTATTCAGTCAGGGCCTCTGGGTTTCTTTGCTCCCAGACCACAGCACTGGKCAGTGAATCCACAGTGCAGCCACTGGCAACTCTTGCTCTTGCCCCTAGGGAGGAAGCCCTGTCCCCCCCCCTTTTTTTTTTCTGGAAGACAAAAATTGCATTACAAAGTCCCTGACTGACCTCTTTCTTTCCTAATATTCACAAGGAGACCATGCTGGCAAACACATATTGCTTTATTTAGTGTTTCTCCAGGTTGCAAAAGTGTCGGCAGTGGGCTGAGACCCCTGGAGGGCACAGAGGCAGCTGGGCAGCCCCCAAGCCCTCTGGGGCAGAGGGGAAGCAGCAGAAAGAAGTGATGCCCCTGCCAGCCCCTTCTCAAGGTCAGCCCCTTCCCCATGCACACAAGCCAGGCAGAGGCCAGGCCAGTAAAGACTCTAAATCTTAAACTGGGTCAAAAGTGTATGGGAGGGAGATGTCATCCTGAGGCATGAACTCAGGCAGAAGTGTTCCTCCCAACTGGTGGCCCCTAAGGGTGATTGCTGGTCAGGGAGCCAGATGCACACTTAAGACATGACCCATGTTTTATGGGGTTCCCCTGTCCCTGGGAGTGGCAGTGAAGTGTGCTGAGGATGGGGCTGCAGTCCTAGTTTTGCCCCAACCTACAGTATGACCTTGGTCAAGTCCCTTTTCCTCTTTGGGCCTCTGTCTCTAATTCTGTTACCCCAGGTGGCTAGACTATATAATCTGAGTTTTCCAAATTTTATGGTTTAAGACTTCTTTCCCACCCCAGGATGCCCTCAGACTGGGGATGACAATATTAAAAGGGCATTTTTTAATTTATACTGGGGCTTGAACCCAGGGCCTCACATATGCTAAGCATGGGCTCTAACATCAAGCTATACCTTCAGACTCTAAAAGGGCATTCTTAAGGCAGGAAGAAGGCAGGCAAAGGTGGTCTCAGCCCCCAGGTGGAGGTCAGAGAGGGCTGCAAAAGGTATATGTGGACAGACAGGCAGGCAGACAGACAGACAAGGTGCCAAGGGAACGAGGAGAGGGTGGCCTGGCCAGGGGAGAGGGCCCACAGCCCAGCCCACCCAACCTCTCAGCTACATTCCTTGCCCTGTTTGAGTCAGGAAAAACACATCCAGTGTGCCTTGGGATAGGAAAATGGCTTTTTTTTAAAAATAGTTTCCTATAAAGCATCAAAAAATCTCAGAGAAAATCTCAGCAAAAATTCCCTTCTCTCACATATTTGGCATCAGCATTGGGCTGGCATGGCTTGCTCTGGCCCTGGCTTTCCTATTGCTGTGGCCCGGCCTGGCCCACTCCTGGGGTAGCTCCATAGCCCCTGCTGTTTCCTTGAGAGAGGAGTGAGCAGGAGGCAGGAGGCTGCAGGTGGGCTTTGAGGTGTCCCTGGGTCCCTGTCTGGAAGCTCGAGTCTTTGGTAACTGGGAAAGGGAGAATGGGTAAGCAAAGCATTGAGAGTTCGGAGGGGGTCCAGTGGGCACCTTCATCACCGAGAATTCAGCCGTGGGGCCACCTGTGGGGGTGTGGGAAAAGTCAAAGTGGTGAGTGGGCAGCAGCTGCTCTGGGTACTTGTCCCAGGTTAAATACAGGCAATAGCAGACTAGGGTGGGGTGGGGGTCTAGTGGCCTCACTTCTCAAGACTCTAGACCTACTCCCATAGGAAAATTTGCTGCCTTAGCCACAAGGGGGGCTCTCCTCCCATCTAGGCCACCATCAATCAGCCTCTCCCTTACAACCTCATATTGTTAGGTGTTTTTTGTTTATTTTGTTTGCAGTACTGGGGACTGAACCCAGGCCAGGAGTGCTGTACCACTGAGCTACATCCCAGCCAACCCTTTTTATTTTTTGAGACAGGGTCTTGCTAAGTTGCCCGGCTGGCCTCAAACTTGTGATTCTCCTGCCTCAGCCTCCCAAGTTGTTGGAATTATAAGTATATGCCACAGCATCCAGCCCTCTGCTGCCATTTTTATGAGCTTCCTCATGGGAGTTCTCAAATGGTCCCTCTGGCCCTTCATGGATGGGCAATAGGATAAAGGGGGTGGTGGTATGGTGCCCTTCGGATTGAGACCACGATTGAAATGCCCAGGCTCTGCCCAGCATGCCAAGGAAAGCTTGGCTACTAGAGGCTCTACCCTAGTCCAAGGACTATCAGTAGGAAGTAGGGTATTGCCTGCTGGCCTTACCACAGCCAGGTGCCCATTCTTGGCCTTGGTGATAAGCAGCTCTGAGCCAGGTGTGAAGTCAATGATGCCATCCCTGCCAGGTCCCCCTGCAAATGTGATGCTAGAGGGAAAAGAGCATATAAGGACTTTTTCACAGAGACAGACTCCCTAGGGTGGGTCCCTGCCCTGTCCTTAGCTTCAGAAATAGCCCACTCACCACCTCTAATGCCTTACCTGCCCTGGTTGATGTTGATGTTGTTCACACGATCCGCACTGAGGGCTGTCTTGGTGAGTGTCTCAATCACATGGTCACTCTGTAGTACCACATCCCCCTGAATGGCCAAGACAGCTTTAGGAATCAAGCCTTGTCCCGAGCTACAGGACCACTCCCACCTCCTAAACCCTAAAGGCTCACTTTCTGCTTATTGTCCTCACGCTGCACATGAAGCACAAAGAGGCTGTCACTCAGGCTGCTGACAGAGATTCCTAAGGGGGGAGGGCAGAGGTCAGGGATCAAAGATCAGAGCAGGGTCCCTCCCTACACAGCCTTGGACTCTGGCTGACCAGTCAGGTTGGCGTAATCGATCCTCTGCTTGACTTTGGCATCCTCCACGATGACCACAGCGCTGGGTGTGAGCAGTAGCTGCCGGGAGCGAGGCTTGTAGCCCTTGCGGTCATATTTCACTACTGGCACAGCATACTGAAGACAGAGGGCAGGGTGAGAGATAGGGAAGGGACTGAGTGGCTAAGCAGCTCCAGGGATGACCTTATTGCCATTTTCTCATTTTTTGGGGGTACTAGGGATTGAACTCAGGGACACTCAACCACTGAGCAACATCCCCAACCCTATTTTGAATTTTATGTAGAGTCAAGGTCTCAATGAATTGCTTAGCACCACACTGTTGCAGCACCACACTGTTGCTCAGGCTGGCTTTGAACCTGTGATCAGCCTGCCTCAGCCTCCTAAGCCACTGGCATGCACCACTATGCCCAGCTATGGGATGACCTTCTCTCTCTTTTTTTTTTTTCTTTTATTTGTTTGGTGCTAGGGATCAAACCCAGGATCTGTGCATGCAAGGCAAGCAGTCTACCAACTGAGATATATCCCCAGCCCCTGGGATGACCTTCTTATCCTCCACCTGTGCCCTGACCCAACCACTTCCAGACCTTGGCAACAGAATTGTGCTGGGCTAGGGACTACAGGCAGGGTCTCACCTGGATGGATTCAGAGCCTAAGGCCTGCAGCACTTTGGGACTGATCTCATCTGTGCCTGCAACCCAGATGGGGGAGAGAGTAGTCAGAGAAGTTGAGAGGGAAACAGGATGGTTTTGTTTGTTTGTTTGTTTGGGTTAGTGAGGATTAACCCAAGGGTGCTTAATCACTGAGCCACATTCCATATTTTTAATTTTGAGACAGAGTCTCACTAAATTGCCCAAGCTAACCTTGAACTTGTGATCCTCCTACCTCAGCCTTCCAAGTCACTGAGATTACAGGCATGTACCACCACACCTGGCCATGATGGAGGGTTGGAGGAATAAAAAATCAGGGGCTCACCAAGCCGTGTGCTGATGAAGAGTCTGGGGACACTCTGGGGGTAATTATCCTTCTTGCCTTTGAAGATCTCACTAGCCACTGCCTTTTGCTGAAGCTGAAGAAACAAGGGGAGTAGAGGAGTGTTATAAGGGGTGGGGAAAATAGGGAGCATAGAGTCCCAGCCTTAGAAATCAGGAGAACCTCCCTTAGCTGCTCTCAGGTCCCAAGAAACTGGGACTAGCCACCAGTACTTTCTTTGCCTTTTCCCCAACCAACCAAGGCAGAGAGCTCCCCAGAAGAGTCATAACAGCACTGTTAGCATCCAGGCCTGACTTTGGGAATGATTTCCAAAACAAATACCTGTTAGGCTCTGGAGCCCCCAAGATTCAGTTTTGGCTTGGAATCTTAGAGGACTGATTGCTAAATATTCAAAGCTATTACAGATTATCTGAGTTGGGTGGGTGCTTTATCAATACTGTGTTTGCAAACACAAGGCACATCACCCATCAGTATCTGACTCCATGATTAGGGCAGACATTAACAACTGATCACAGTGAATCTGCAACCTTTACATCATGGGGCACTGAAAAGCCTTCACCACTCAAGTTAAAACAACCCACAAGAGGAACACTATTTGCCTCCAGCTTCCACTGCATGAGGTGATAGGGACCTGGGATCCATCTAAGGTTAGATGGTAAATCAGAAGTATAATGCTTCCCTGGGCCAGCACTCTTCATTTGATGCCTGCTGCCCCCAAACCCCACTGGCTAGTCCTTGCTAGTCTAGCTCCCCACACCTGCTGCTTCCACTCGGGGCTGATACTCCGGCAGTACTTCCACACCATGTTCTTCATGCACAATTCCCGTAGAAGCTCTGAGGCCTGTGGGAAAGAGAAAAGTCAAGAGTATTTACCTAGCCTGACTTTCTTCCCTCTGAAGACCTGCAACATATGCCCACCAACAAGTCTTTGTACAAGCAAGGCCTCCTCAACTTGACAGTCCTTCTGGTCCTGAGCACTTTCTCTCTAAAACTCATTCTTCATAGCCCTCCTCCACTTCCTCTCCCTCTTTGGGCCCTCCCTAATCACCCCTCTGCCAAGTGTTTTGATGGTTCCTAACCCAGCCGGGAGGACTCACTGACCTCGCGCAAGGCAGGTGGGGGAGTGGGCCAGGAAGTGTCCAGGACATTCCGGGGCAGCTGCCGTCGCAGGTTAAGCAAAAATGAAGTGCGTACATGATCCAAGAAGAAGGCATTCTCAGGACAACGGGGTGCGTGGCGCAGGATGAAGCCACGGATGAACCTGGGGGTGGCAGGCCAGGCAGGGTTGGGGTAAGAAGCCTGGCACTGGACCCCCCCATCATATATCCCTTATCCTGCAGCCCTTCATCATGTCCCCATGCTTACCGCCGGATGGTCTGTGCCGCCCACTTCCTCTTGGCTGCCTTCCTTCGGCCTAGTGTTCCACGCCACCACGACTGGATGCAAATGGCTGTGGGGACCACAGATAGCTGACCTCTTATCTCCTTATCACAGTAGCCCACCCTAACCCAAGACTCCGCCACCCCAAATAACCCTGGGCCCCCAAACCTGATCGCTTCACCCGGAGGAATTTCTGCCGCCAGTGAAAACCCTTCCAAGCTGCTTGGATCTTCGTGGCTATGGTTGGGAAAGAAATTCAACTGGCTGGAGGTCAGGGTCACCAAGCCTGGCACTGTCAGAACTCAATGAGTGGCATGAATGAGGGAGTGGCTGAATGAGCTACTGTGTGAAAGGACAAATGAGAGTAAATGAAGAAAAGCAAATGAATGTGAGAATATGCCCAGAGTTTGCATCCAGAGACCAGGCTGCAGGCTGGATTGTGGGCATTGGGGCTGGAGCTAGTAAGGAGGTGGGGGAGCTGAATGTAGGTGGGGCAGACTTCCTGGAGAAGGAATGCAAAAGTAGGGACTTCTTCCCTGTTCCCCAGAAGGGACTAGAATGGGGCAGGAAGGGTAGATCTCCTTCTCACCAAGGCTCTGCCGACGGACCTCCAGGGCATCCTCTGTGGCAAACAGGGTCTTGGGGAAGCGTATGAAGATCTTGGTCCTGGGAGAGCAGCAATAATCAGCCCCTTGTTGCCACCTCTCATATCTACCCAGCCACCAGGAATGAGGACCACTCACCTGCCCATCTTGTACTCTTCTGGCTTGTAGCCGAGGTGTCTGACCAGCACAGCCACACCATCCTGGGGCCGTCCTGCCCATGTGGGCCATGTCTCTGGGCACAGTGATTTATATCTGGAGATAGGAGAAGCAACATGCACCTAACCACACCCCAGCCAACACTCTTCTCTGAAGGTCCCTACCAGCTTTCCCTGGGCATCTCCTAGGTATTCCTACTGACTTGTTCACAGCTTATAGAGGGTGTGTGTGTGTGTGTGTGTGTGTGTGCACGCGCGCACACATTTTAAAGATAAGGAAACAAAGGTATCCTCATCTACCTAAGACCAAGGGTTAGAAAATGGCAGAGATGGGCTGAGTGCAGTGACACATGCCTGTAACTCCAGCTACTTGAGAGGCTGAGGAAGAGAGGATCATAAGTTTGAGGCCAGAGGATCATAAGTTTGGGCAAGTTAGGGAGACCCTGTCTCAAAATAAAACTGGGCTGAAGAAGTATTCAATGTTAGACCACTTGCCTAACATGTGGAGCGACGGGTTCAATCTCCCAGGGGGCGGGGGGAGAGGGTTGGGGAGGAGAAAAAAAAAAAAAGTTGCAGAGATGGAATCATACTGATCAATTCCCCAGGCCTTTAACACAGAATAACCAAACTGCTTTATTCTCTGAGTTCCCTGTAAACTCTGGCCCCGCCCTTTTCCATCTGTTTTGTGATAGGCTTGTGGATGCCTGCCTCCTGCACCCTCCTCGGGTACTTCAGGAGGACAAGGCCTACAGGAAGCCTAGTGTGGTCTCTTCCAAGGATTACACTGGGCCTGCAGCATAAAGTGGTTCTCGGTATGGGTCCCACAGCAGCTCAGAACCTCTGCGTTCTCAAYTCTAAAACAGGACTCTGAAGGCCTATGCTCCCTCGTGGAGCCTCCGAGATCCCTCCCGCCCCTTTCCTTCTCATGAGAGCCCCGCCCACCTCTGCAGGAAAGCCTCGTATTTGCGACGATAGGCGAAGCCAGCTCTGCGCACGCGCAGGTTCTCCATCAGCCCCAGGTACTTCACCTGGTGCCGAATCAGCACCTCATCAAAGCGGCCTGGGGGAAGGGTAAAGGGGTGGTCAGCCGCCAGTCATCCCTGTAGGGGAGGCCCAGACCCCGCAACCCCGTAGGGGCCGAGGACCTACCGGGCTGTTTGGCATCGTTGGGCTTGATGCAGCGGATGTAGGCAGGCTCCTTAGACTTCAGAATCTCTACCAGCTGCAGGAGGCTCATTTTGAATTGGGTGGCCACCTGGCGAGTCCAGAAGAATAGAAACTTGGTCTGAGTGAGGCTAAGGCCGCTCACCTCTGTGTGTACACACCCTACCCCTGCAAAGCTACTGACCCCTGCAGTGGCCCTCCTCTCTGCTTGGGCCTTACTTCTTCCGACTACTCCTCCCTCACAATAGAGGAAGGGTCCGACTCTGCACATCTCTCTCTCCGACTGGGCTACAGACCTTAACTTATCTCTCTCCAGCCTAAAAATCCTGCTCAGGCCCCTGGCAACCTCCATTCTGTATCTCCCTTTTGCAACCACTCTTCCCAGAACTTCAGAGCTACGTTCCTAAACAGCAAGTCCTATACCTATGCATTCAACTATTGTCTCTATATGTTGCTCTGCAGGACCTTCAAGGACCTCAGGCCTGTAAAGAAACAGACTGCTTAGCAAAAATTTGCAATCTCCTGTGGTTATATTAATAACAGAGGTGAATCAATCACAGTAGTGCACGCCTATAATCCCAGCAAATCAGGAAGCCAAAGCAGAATTATGAGTTTGAGGTTAGGCCAGGTAACTTAGTGAGATCCTGTCCCAAACAAAACAAAACAAAACTGGGCATGTGGCTTGGTGATAGAATACTTGCCTAATATACGCAAGACCCTGGGTTCAATTCTAGAACCAGAAAATAAACAAACAAATAAATAAATAATAGTGGTGTGTGCCTGGAGGTTCTGGGAACACCAATTAGGGACAACTCATTAGTCTATGAGTGTAAAGGGAATCTGGAAAGATCTTCTGGCAATGAGATTAAAAGGATAAGTAGGAAATGGCTGGACAGAAGACAGGCCAGACAGTGGTCCATGTCAACATATCAGGAGGCTAAAGCGGGAAGATCTCAAGTTGAAGGCCAGCCTAGGCAACTTAGTGAGACCCTGCCACAAAATAAAAAATAAAAAGGCATGGTGGTGTATCTCAGTGGTAGAGTGCCACTGGGTTCAATTCTCAGTATTTCAAATAAAAAGAAAGAGGTAAAAATGTCAGTCTAGGAAGAGAGATGGCCTTAGCAAAGAGCTGATATATGCAGGGAGCTATAAGCATACAAGAATCCAAGTGAGGTTACAGAGGCAAGCAGTGGTAGTATCATCAGTAAGTCACACTGAACACATTGGATTTTATCCTGAGGAAACTAAGGAGCCAATGAGAAATTTGGAGAAAGGGAGTGACATAAAAAGATATTCATTTTAGAATATCTCTACAGATGTGTGGAAGATGGATTGGTTAGCCAGGAAATCAGGAAGGAGGCTGGCTGGCAGAGAGGAGAGAGAATGATCATTAATGTGGATCAGTGGTTATATGGAAGGAATGGAGAGGAGGGAGTTGAGAAGTAATCGGGCAATAAACAAGATCCAGTGGTTGGAATGGGGGAGAGTGAAGAACAAGGGAAGATGGCTAGATCCCCAGCCTGCAGGACTAGGTAGAGGGTGATGCCTATCTTGAATTAGGGACACAGAATGAGCAAGGCTAGGGGTCTGGGCAACCAAGGGCCCACTTGTGTGTGTTGTGGAGAATCACCAGATGTATGAATTTGTGGTTTTCTGGAGGGGCCTGGGCAGAAATGGGTAGGCAAGCAACCTAAGTGGGAGACAATGGGGTCAGGAGGGTGAGGGTACACAGGGTGAGGGAGGGTGAACAGCAGCAGGGAGCAGGCAGGGTCCCAGGAGGGCAACACAATGCCTTGGTGCCCTGCCTAGCAAGCATGTCTCTGCCTTCAGCACTCTGGCTTCTACTTGCCTCCTGATCTCTTTACTGACAGGGGCTACCTGACTCCTCTGCAAGCTCAACAGTCACGTCTCTGCCCTTAGCTCCGCAGAGCTCTTCTTGCATCCAGCACTACTGGCCACACCTGCCATCCAGCCCTTTCCCTGTGACGTTCCTTTCCTGCTGACCTCCTTTTTTGGCCTATGTGTATCTGTGTTGGACCCTCTTGCTGCCTACAGTGCCCCCTCCCACTACGGGTCCATCAGACTGAAAAGCACTTCCTCATTCTGAAGTTATCTCAAATACTTCCACTTCCAGGGGCCCTCCCTGACCTCCCACCCACCTCACCTCTAGAGTTGGCTATCCCCTCTCTTCTTCTGTGCATATTCTGTAAGAACACCTATTTTTTCTTTTTTGCTTGTCTGTGTGTTCCTGGGGATGGGACCCAGAGCTCCCTAGGTGCTAGGCAAGCACTTTACTACTGAATTACATGTCCAGCTGCACATTTTTGTATCCTCAGTGCTTAGCAATGTCTGTTACAAAGTGTCTGATAGGTGAACACTCACAAGCACCCACATGGAAAGGTGTACACACATGGATTCCCCCACTGTAACAGGCATACACAAACAAGTCCACACCTAAGAGACAGGTGGACACTCAGGCATACATTTGTAAGTAGGCAAAGATGCTCCAATGGGCAGCTTCCTAGAGACACACACAGATGTGCACATGGGCACCAACAAACATGCTCACATGCACAATGCCAACTCCAGGCCCAAGTGGGCACTCATCCATGCTCAGGTACACACACGCTCCCTCAGGTCCCACAGCCTCCGCACCGTCTCTGGCCGCTTTTTATCACTGAGTTCACTCCGGTCGAAGCACTGGCTCATAATGGGATTCTTTGAGCTGCACATGGTCTGTGGGGTCAGAACAGGAGGTTAAGGTGGGAGCAGAGGCAGACACAATAGATTCCTGGGCACAGGGGCATACAGAGTTGCCCCCTACCCTGTCACCCCCATGTCCTCCTCACCTCTTTCAGGTTCCGGAAGAGAAGGTCGTTGTTTTTATCCAGAAACCCTGGAAGGAGATGGCAGATGAGGGGTGAGGGAGTGTCCCTCCCAGTYCCCAGGGGTATCCAGCTTCAAGATCCTCACCAGTCACGCTGTAGGTCACCTCCCCAGCATAGTGCAAAAGGCGGAACTCCCCACGGCCCAGGGATTTCCTGGTCCGCTGGTCAGCCAGCTTGTGCCTGGGGGTGACAAGGACATGAATCTACAAATTGCTGACCCAAGTCATGCCCCTGCATGCTGAAGAGACCTTGAGAGTAGGAACCAGCACCCAGTAGGGAGCAGACATGCCCCAAGACTGCCCCCACAACCCACAAGTCATGTGGCAGACAGCAGGAGGTACACCCTGTGTACCCTCATCCTCCTGACCCCACTGTCTCCCACATCAGCCCCCCTGCATGATCTCTGAGGTTCAGGAAGGTGGCCTGCCTTGCCCAGGGTCACACAGTGCCAGGACCTAGGCCTCTGGACTACCAGGCACACAGGGCAGAAGGCTAATTTCATTGCTTCCAGCTGCTGCTTTACTATGCCCAAAGTGAACTGTCCACTGTATTTTCAGAATGGAATTTGCTTAAGATATTACTTACACTTTAAATATGTCTATATCCTTTAACCTATTTTCTGCTTTTAAGAACTGTTTCAGGGCTGATTTTGCTCAGTGGCAAAGCACTTGCCTAGTATTCATGAGGCCCTGGGTTCCATCCCCAGAGCTGGAAACAAAAAACTATTCCAAGCAGATTAACCAGAGATACAGGCAAAGATTTAAGGCACAAAGATGTCTGTGACAGCCCTTAGTTATTCCAGCAAAAACCTGGAGGCTGGCCAGGGGCTCCCAAAGGCCAAGTAAAAACCACAGGGTTTTTACATGGCCTTTGGATTAGAACCATTGGAGGAAGCATTTTGAAAAAAAATTTCTGTTTGATGATATAGGAGAACACTGAGGATCTAACATTATCCTGAGCCTTATGCACAATAAGTTCTTGACTATGAAAAAAATGTATAGAAAAAAGCAGGAAGGAAATGCCTTGAATTGTTAACAATGATGGCCTCTGGATGACAGGGTTACAAGAGACTTTTGCACATATTCCAGCTTTTTTTTAATGAGCAATATTATTTTTACAATCAGAAGCAAGCTTTTTTTTTATTGTTTGTTTTTTTAGCTTCTATTTTTTTCTTAGCACCAGGGATGAAACCCAGGGCAGCTCTACCACTGAGGGACACCTCCAGCCCTTTTTCACATATATATATATATATATATATATTTTTTTTTCTGGTTGTAGATGGACACGATATCTTTATTTATTTATTTTTATGTGGTGCTGAGGATCGAATCCAGTGCCTCATACATGCAAGGTATACTCTTCCATTGAGCTACAGCCCCAGTTCTTTTAAATTTTTTAACTATTTATTTATTTATGGCACTAGGGATTGAATCCAGGGCACTTTACCACCAAGCTATATCCCATAACTTTTTTTTTGGTACTAGGGATTGAACCCAGGTGAACTTTACCACTAAGTTATATCCCCAGCCCTTTTTATTTTTAAAATTTGAGACAGGGTCTTGCTAAGTTGTTTAGGGCCTAGCTATATTGCTGAGGCTGGTCTTGAATGTGTGATCCTACCACTTCAGCCTCCCAAGCCACTAGGATTATAGGTATGTGCCACCACACTCAGCAACACCCTGTCTTTTTTATTTTGGGGCAGGGTCTCACTAAATTGCTCATGGCCTCACTAAGTTGCTGAGGCTGACCTTGAATTTGAGATCCTCCTGTCTCAGCCTTCTGAGTTGCTAGGATTACAGGCATGCACCACAGCACCCAGTCCCCTTTGTTATTTCYTGAAATAGGGACTCACTAAATTGCCCAGGCTGATCTCAAACTTCAGATCCTCCCGAGGATTGGGATTATAGTCATGTACCACTGTGCCTAGCAGAAGCAAGTTTTTAATGTTATTAAGCAAATAATAGTCAAAGCTTTGGCATTCAATAGCCCCAGGACTAAGTCTCAGCTCTGCAAGCTAGCTGTGAGATAACCTTGGGCACTTCAATCTGAGTCTCGCTATAAAATAGGGAAAACACCAAGAATGTCTCCTTAAAAGATCATTTATAGGTTAAGAGATGATGTGCACAAAGTACACAGGACAAATTGAGACAAAGATGCTTGCTTCTGTTTCTATCCCTTCTTGCTTTTAAATAAAACAAGTCTCAGTAGGGCTTGATGCTGCACGCCTGTAATCCCAGCAGCTCAGGAGGCTGAGGCAGAAGGCCTGTGAGTTCAAAACCAGCCTCAGCAACTAAGCAAGACTGACTCTAAATAAATAAAATATAAAAAGGGCTGAGAATGTGGCTCAGTGGTTAAGCACCCCTGAGCTCAATCCCTGGTACAAAAAAAAAAAAAAAAAAAAAGTCCCAAATAAGGAAGCTAAACAACCAAAAAAAACTTAGCAAGTTTCATTCTCTTAAAAAAAAAAAAAGGAGGAAGCCATGCTCTAGAAATGGTGGCTTTGTGCAACTTTCCCTAACTTAGTACTTTCCCTGTGGCTGGTGGGTTGTATGTGGGAGGGAGTGTGGGGCGGCGCGGCAGGCGGTGGGATGAAACCCAGGTTCTGGTAGGCATGTGCTCTACCTTTTGAACTATGCCCCCAGTCCTGTAGCAGAAGTTAATCACTATGAACCCAGCCTTCCACAGGATTTGCCCCAAGTGGGCTCTTGCCCCAGAAATTCTGCCACCCTACTCACGTGAGGAAGTGTGGATGGTGCTTGACAGTGTCCTCTAGCTTCTCCAGGAAGGTCAGGTCTGTGGCCTCCCCAGGGCGCAAACACTCCTCATCCTAGAGGAGGGAACAGTGTGAGGGAGGTACTAGGGGAAAGGCTGGAAAGCACAGAAGCTTCTAGGTACTGTGAGGGGAAACAAAGATGCAGGAGAAAGAGCAGAGCATAGGGAACCCCCACAGGGAGCTTCCAGACCAGGCCAACATCCATCCATCTCACACTGCCCAGCCCCACACCCTGGCCCTCTGTGGACCAGCCCGGAGAGAAAGGAAAAGGGGAAGATGTTCTCCCATCTGGCCCATAACATGAGCAGAGGACTCACCAAGATGGAGATGATGCCCTTGAACTTCTCCTCTACCAGGTCACAGATAATCTTATTGTTGAAGTACTGAACAGGCTCCCACTGCAGGGAAAGGGAAGGCGGACATCATCGTGGGGTCCCACACCTTCTCCCAGAGTCCCAGTGCCTGACTTCCTGTGGCACAGGGACACCTCAAGCTCACACGCACCGCGATTCCCTCGGCCTCGTACTCTTCCTGTTCGGATTTGAGTGTCAGTTCAATGAAGAGCTGCTGCAGCTTCTCGTTACAGTAGTTGATGCAGAACTGCTCAAAACTGTGGGGAAACAGAAGAACCCATAGTCGCATCAGAGGACACAGGGCCAGGGCCAGGGGAAGGACAGGACAAGGCCCYTGAGCAGTCAGGTAAGAGATGCAGAGCCAGACCCAGGCTGGCTTGGGGGATCATTAGAATGACAGGCAGGGGGACAGAGGAGAGGGACCAGGACAGTAAGACTAAGTGGCTGGCAAGGGGTAAGGGCAATGCTGACCTGTTATGCTGAAACACCTCAAAGCCATAAATGTCCAGGAGCCCAAGAACCGTGGTACTCYGCCAGCTGGGGCTCTCAGCATCCTAGGGCCAGTCATTCAACCAAGAGCATGGGTCTTGGTGTCTGCCACCCCAGCTCCCAGCTCTAGCCCTCCCTGACAAGCCTCCCTGACTGCCTCGGAAGCAGCGTGGACCAGGTCCTCACCTTGGAGGCCAGTGACCTGTTGATCTTCCCAACCAACCAGGTGAAAGTGCGACTATACACAGCCTTGGCAAGAGCATCCCGTGCGTATGCAGCCTGCTCCAGGTTCAGGGGGCTCAGGAGCTGTAGCAAAGAGTGAGACTAGGATGAGTGCCTTCCATTCCATCTCCCCTTTGGACTCAGGAAGAAGACCAGGAAGTCCTGGCCAGCCTGTCCTTCCGCCTCCAGTGTGCCTGGGTGTGGAGAGTGGTGGTGGTATTAGGACATCAGCGGGGGACAAAGTAGCCACACCAGAGGGAAGGTGGTATAGGAAGAAGTGATCATTCCTGGAGATGGGAATCTTGATCTAAGCCTGACTTTGTCACCCTCTTCCTGTGTGACTTTGGCCAGCTCACTGTGCCTCTCTGAGCCACCCATCTTATATCCCTCCAGCACTGCTGAGAAGACCACTGAGCAGAACAGGAGGAAGGAGAACGATGGGAATGGGAGCTGCCCTAGAGTACCTGCACCTCCCCGCCAGTGACAAAGGCTTGGCTCACCTCTTCTCCCTTGGCGATGATCTTCCTATGCGTCAAGGCTTCCCTCAGTGTTGAGCCTTCCACACCAAGGAGCTGTCAAGGGACAGTGGGCACAGTGAAGGTGCAATCACCCTGCCCCTCCTGTTCTCCCTTGCCCCCCACCTACCACACATACCCTGGTTATGTACTTGAGCTGGTTCTCAGTGGTGACCTGGGCATTACTCTCCTCATCAGCAGCAAAGTGGATGTTGCCTAAGTGCAGGACACTAGCCACAATGCTCAGCAGGTCCTGGGGGAGCAGAAAGGTGACAGGTGGTGATTATAAGGGGGAAGGGAACCCCAGGAGGGGGACTAGAGATGGCCAGATGGAACAGGGGATATATGACAAAGCATCTGGGAAGAGGAGGGGATTAGAGGCAGAAACCGGCTTTAAAAATATAAGTTGATTTTGGAGCGATTGTAGGAGGAAAGAGAGAGGGTCCCCAGAGGAGCCCTCACCTCCACTTCGTCCTCGGTGAAGTCGATGACTGTCAGCGCCTTCCTGACAACCTTCCAGTCACTCTTGTCATTGATGGAAGAAACTTTGGCGCACTGGCCCTGAAGAAAGGGCAAAGCTGGGTTATCAAGCCCTGGCACTGTGTCCTTTGGGTGGCACCTGTCTTGCCAGCCTGCCAGCCACTCACCTTTACCAGGTACAGGTAGTTCTGGGGGTTTCTTTCCAAGCCCAGCCTGCGCAATGTCTCCTCCTCACCTCCCTCCAGCAGCTGGTAGAAGACATGGAAGTTCCGCTCCCCATGATTCTGGTGTACCACTCGGGACTTCTCCAGGAGGTAACTGAGGATATGGCCACCTATGGGGGCACCCTGTGGACAGGGCATGGCAAGGGGATAGGTTAGGGGGACTGAGGAATAGAGCTTATCTTTCCCTTGCTCCCCTGCAGACCTGGGCTCTAATTATAGCTCTGCCACTAGCTGTCTGGGCTCAGGCACATCACCCTCTCTGGCCTCAGTTTCTTCATCTAAGAAATGGGCAGGTTCAACTCCATGTATTTGATAGCTTCATTTGGGTACCTGACAGGTATCTTAAGTTCAATAGGCTTGACATTGCCACTCCTCAGATTAGTTCTTCTTTTGTCTCCCCATCTTAGTCAAGAGTAACTATATCCTTCTAGTTGTCCAGGCCAAGAAGCTTGTGGTCCTCTTGGATGCCTCTTTTTTTTATCATTTCCTCGATTCAATCATATTCAGTCCTGCTGCCTTAACCTTTAAAATACCCAGAATCCAACCACTGCTTACCACCTCCACTGCTACCACACTGGTCTGAGCCACTGTCATCTGTCACCTCCATTATTATTACATCAGCCTCCTAACCGGTTTCCCTGCTTGGCATAGTTCCCTTACCAACAGAGCAGCCAGAGTGACCTTTTCAGTAAGAAAGTTGGATCACAACGTGCTTCTGTTCAAAACCCTCTGATAAAACCCCCTTCCACTCAGAGTTCAAGAAGTAGGGCTGGGGGTAGCTCAGTGGTACAGCATGTGCTTAGCCCACATGAGGCCCTGGGTTCAATCCCCAGCACCTCCCACCCCGCCACACACGTTTTACAAAAATCCAAAAAGGACTGTACCATATGGCCTTCCCTCCTATTCCTTGGCCTCTTGCTCTCTTCTCTGGCCACAGGTCTGGCCTCCTTGCTAACCTTGAGCACACCAAGCATCCTCCCACTGCACGGGCTGTTCTGGCTGCCTGCACACTCTCCTCTAGGTAGCTGCCCCGCTTGCTCCCAACTCTGTTGAGCATTTACTAAACCACGACTTCTCAGAAAGGCCTATTCTACCTGCCTTATTTAAAATTCCAACTGCTCCTCACCCTTAACCTCATTTCTGCCATGTCCTAAATTATTATTTTTCTGTTTATTGCCTATTACCCCAGGAGGCAGGATTTATGTCTGGTTTCATTGCTATGCCAGCAGTACCTGGAATAGTGCCTGGCACACAGTAGGTGCTCAACAAATATTGAGCCTACTGATTGGAAAATCCCGCCCTCTCTTGTGATATACCAACAGATACCTTAAAGTCAAACTGCACATCCATGTACTTCCCAAATCGGCTGGAGTTATCATTCCGAAGGGTCTTGGCATTTCCAAAGGCCTAGGAATGGATAGTGGAATTAGAAGCACCTAGCATTCGCTCCCTGTCCCTCCCTCCCTTCAGATGCTGCTGTCCACTCACTTCCAGCACTGGGTTGCTCTGTAGCAATCGGTCCCGCACAGCACCCCCTCGCTCAGGGGCTGGGCAGGTCTCTGCATAGAACTGTAATAGCCGCTTGGTGGCCTCTGTCTTGCCTGCCCCACTCTCCCCAGAGATCATCACTGCCTGGTCCCGGCGTTCCGTGCGCAGTGCCCGGTACACAGTGTCAGCCACTGCAAACCTGGAGCAGAGATTCATCAGAGAATTCAGGGAGTAGAAGATTAAGTGGCTGCAGGTGAAGCCCCATGGATGGGTAGGAGATGCAAGAGTACTCCCATATTGAATTGGAGTTTACTTGTGGATAGAATTAGGGGATACTCTTGAGGTTGGGAGTTGGGGGTCCCTCAAGGGTATGGACCAAGGGAGATACTTCATAGTAGAGGATGGGGCCACTTTCAGGTAGAAGATTGTGAGGATCACTCCACTCTAGTGGGAGTGTTGGGGGTCACTCAGGTGGATGTTGGGGACCTCATAGGCAGGGCTAGGAGGTCCTCATGAATGGGGATCAGAGGTCATTAGGGTTGACAGGCCATGTCCAGGTAGAGTTGGAAGAATAAGTCAAAAGTGTGAGCTGGGCTTGGATTTAGGGGTCCCACTCATTTGGAGCTCAGAGATTCATCTCTGGATGAGGACTGGAGTAACTCTAGGGTAAGCAATTGTGGGGTTCCTCGCAGATGTGAACAGTGATTCACCCAAGGGGGATCATTTCAGAGTGAGGGTTAAGTGGAGTTGTTTTACATGAGGATGGCAGGGGAAGTGGAGGTCACTGCTGAAGGGTAAGGAGTCACTTACAGGTGGGGTGGCACTTCATAGAAACTGACGCCACGGTAACGCTCCATATGCTGCCGGCTATAAATCTGTAGGTCTCGGTAGGGGTTGACAGACACCAGGACGGGGCCAATGTAGGTCTAGGGGTTGGGGAGGAGAGTCAGAAGTTTGTCTCAGAGGCCCCTGATACTTTCTTCCCCCCTCAGTCCTGCCTCTTGTGCCCCCAGCATCACCCCCCCACCTCCCATCTTCCCACTTGGCCTCACGTAAATAAGGTTCTCCCGGAAGCGCCGCCGCAAGTTCTCAATGAAGGCAGCCTCGCTGGTGAAGTTCTCCAGCAGCACAAAATCTTGCACCCCCACCCGGTCACGGGCAGTCAGGGCACTCTCCATGGTTACCCGCACCCCGTCACTGCCCAGGGCCTGCAGGGAATGAGCCATGGGAGAGGGTCAGAGCCAGCAGTTAAGGCTACTCTCCTACCATACCTGTGAGCCCAAGGGGAGGGTAGGAGCATGTGGACATAGAACACAGAACATGCTGGGTATGGAGGGCCCAGGTAACAGGAGTCCAGCACACAAAAGATATGGGACCACATGGAACCAGGGCCTAGCACACAGGAGTACCCTGGGCCCAGCGGACATGGGAAGGCACTGGTTTTGTGTGGAGAGGTGGGTCCTAAGAAAGAACTGCTTGGAAAAGCAGAAAGAATGCTATGTTGACCTTGGACAAATACCCTCCTCTCTAAGGGTTGCTTCCTTCTCAGGGAGGAGTTAGACCAGGTGACCTCAGGTCCCTGAGCTCAGGGCCACGTGTGACAGGTGCTTTGGAGGACAAATTCTCAGAGTGAATTCTGCAGTCAGGGTGGGGCCACTTCTCCTGCTCCCACTCCTCAAAGCTCCAGGAGTTGAGAGTTGCTTAGGGACTAAGCAAGAGCTCCTCCTCCAAGGAGAGGGATTTCCCCAGGGGCCTCCAGCCCAAGTGGGACTTAACACCCACCCCTGAAGGGCTGGCTCTCCCTCCCGTAGCTGGGACCACTCCCTCCCCTCCAGCTGCTGGGCTCCTCAGAAACCTCCTCCTCTGAGAGTCCTAAAAAGCCTCAGGAGGCCCGGGTTTTACCAGGGAAAGCCCAGCTGCCACTGTTGGGCAGGGATGGGGCAGGCTTAGCAAGACCCTCATCCCATACCCAGCGCTGAGATTCTTCTTCAAAGAGAGTCTGGGGTCTCTCAGAAATTGACACCAAGAGTGCCAAGGGTCAGAAAAGGGTAAGGTGGTGGTGGGGTGGGTGTAGATCCCAGAGAGATCAGCAGGTCTGTTCTAACCACAGATGGCCCAGATCTCCAGCTAGGGGCACCCCTCCTCTGGGGCCTGGCACTCCCAGACTTATCCCTCACTGCTGCACTCCGATCCCGCCCGAAGTTGCAGCCAAATAAGGCTACAGTCCCCGCCCCTTTGCCCTAGGGCGAGGGGTCTAAGTGTTCTCAGCTGTCCCAAGGAACTATTCGCCTGGCCCCGGGTCCGAGCGTCCCGCGAGTCCCGCGACCCTCCCCGCCTCGGCCTCCTCTCCCTGCAACTTTCTGGGACGTTTTATCACCCGAAATTCCTGGGCCGCGCCCGCTTCCTGGCAGGGCTGAGGCGGAGCCGCTAGGCGGGAGGCCCGGGACCCCCGCCCTGCCCTCCACCCCAGCTCACCGACGCCCGGTAGCGCATCCTGCTTGACCGGCCCTGCGCCCCGCTCCTCTGCCTGCGCTCTGGGTCAGGGGCTCGGCCGCGGAGGTGGCGGCGGCGGCGTCAGAGAGGGAGGGAGGGACAGGCCCGCCCCCCGCGCCGCCCCCTCGCTGGCCTCTGAAGCGCGGGACAGGGACCTTGCCCGCCTCCCTCGGAGCCCGGACTCCGGGGTCCCTCTCCAGCTGGCGGGGGCGGGGTAGGGGCTAAAGGGGACCTCGGAACTGGAGAGGAGGTGGGCGGGGGCGGGCGCGAGAGGGGGCGGGGCTCCCCCCGGGGCCGGTGCTCCGCCTGAGTCAGGTTTTCCAGGAGGGACGTCGTTGGTTCCAGGGTGGGGCCCGGAACCCGCGCGGCCGCCGCGTCTACACGGACCCGGAACTCACTTCCGGGCTCGTGTCTACACTACGCGGCCTGGCCAGGCGCGGGACGAGGGCCGAGGTCCGTGGGTCCCAGAGGAAACAGGATTTTCCTCMCCCCAATACCAACCTCGAGTCCCGGGAAAGTTAAAAATAGAACGAAATGTCCAAATACGGCCGGCGCGCCTGGGCGGGCGGAGCCTGGGTGTGGGACCTTGTCCACCCCCAAACACACTCTGGAAGGCGGGCCGCGAGCCTTTAAGCTGAGGGAAAATTTCTTTAGGTCCTTTCGTCAGCGTGGATCGCACAACCCAGAAACAGGGGCGGCCACAAGGTGCCCCCTTTCTTTGAACAGTGTCCTTGGCCCTTCTGGAGGCCTCAGTTTCCCTACTGGGAAGCCCGCGTCCGACCTGACGTTTGAATCCAATACCCTTCTGCAACCTGGACATCCCACTCAGGCCTCTTTGCCCCGGGGATTCCTCCCTTTCTCCCTCTAGAAGGGACCTTTCTGTCTTGTCCTCCAGGATCTCTGCATTCCCTCTTCCAGGACGTCCTTTTTCTCCCCAAATCAGCCCCCAGCATCTGCACCCTCTCTGAAGGCATCAGCCCTCCTTTGGTTTGGGGGGTGGGGGGCTCTGGCTCAGATTCCATCAGTGGTGGAGATGGTGATGTCTAGAGCTTTCAAAGATCGTGGCTGATTTTTTTGTTTGTTTTCCCCCCAGTGCTGGGGATGGAACTCAGGGCCACGGTAGACAAGGGGTCTAACACCAAGCTACATTTCCATCTCCTCGGAATCTGTTCTTCATTCTTAAAATGAGGTTAACACCTGCCAGAAGTGTAGTTGGAATAGGCTGTGATAAAACGCTGAGGCATTTCCCAGACACTCAACACCGTTACCCTCTTCTCCTTCCTTCTCTCTACCACAGTCACTTCACACATGCTTGGAGACAGAGCGTCATACTTCTTATTTTGTGGGGAAAGCCCCTTAGGCGTGTCTATCTGTCACAAAGAACTCCCAAGTACTTTACCCGTCCCTAGCCTGCTAGATAAGGAACCTGAGGCGCACACAGCAGACACTGACTTGTCCTAGGGGGGAAAGGCGGAGCCAGGACCCAAAGTCCCTGCACTCCCCACAGTCTGACCTGGGCTCCCTGGAGAGGGGTTGAGGCTGCGGCAGGTGCGGGCTGCAGCCTCAAGGGGAAGGCTCATTACCTCGAAAACAACAGCCTGGCCAGAGCTAAGGCCCAGGGAGGCCCCCGTGAGGGGGCACCAGCTGGGAGATGGGGCCCTCTGGAGGGGGCAAGGGGACTGGGTGCCGCCGGCCACAGCTGGGAGATGGATGAGAGGAAGGTTCAGGGCGGGAGGTGGCGCTCTCCACGGTTCCCCCAGGTCTACAATCCAGAAAGGAGCCGGGAGACAATCTAGCTTGAAGCCCACCCAGGCGGGCGAGTGCCTTACAAGAGCCAGCGGGAGAGGGTCCAGAGAGCCCCTAAGTGGGCTCTGACTAGGGCGAAGAGGAGGGGCCGAGTGAGGAGGGGCCGAGTGAGGAGGGGCCGAGTGAGGAGGGGCTGAGTGAGGAGGGGCCGGGTGAGGAGGGGCTGAGTGAGGCGGAGCTTCGCGGCCGCAGTGCCAGCCCCGCCCCACCGCGTCAAGAGGCTGGAATGAGGAGAATCCTCGAGTGGAGGGGTCCAGCGGGCTTTCCCCTATTGCAGGCAGCGCCGCCGCATTCTCTGGATGCCCGCTCCCGCCCCTGCAGCCACCGCCCGGCTGCGGAAAGAGGGGGCGTCGCCGCCGCCCTGCGGGCCGAAGCGGGCCAGAGCCCTGGCAACCCCCACGGGCCTGCTCCGCCTCTCTGAGCAGGAGCGTGAGTCCAGAGGAAGGGTAGGGAAGCCAAGAAGCTAGGGAGCGGGAGATGCCGCGATTAAGGCGACAGGGCCAGGCTCTTTCTGCGTCCTTAGCACGTTCTTATTTACCCACTTCATGAGGTCTATATTATTTCATTTTAGGGGGAAACTGAGGCTGGGTAAGTGAAGTGACTTGTTCAATGTCTCTAGACTTGTAAAGGAGCAGGATTGCAACCTGGGAACCCGAACACTCTACTTCTGAAGGGCTGCCCTAATGCCCACATTGTTTACAGGGATACCCTGCCAGGTTGTGACTTTCCTCAGGTGCCCCTGTCAGTGTCATGTGACTTTATTGATGTGTAACATAGGGGTGGCAGCTATAGCCCCCAAAGCATGGCTCTGAGCCTATGGGCTGGCTGCAGGCTGGGGTGCACCTGTGGTCTGAATGTCCCAGGACTTATTTTTCAAAGGCATCTCTGGATCTCCTCCCTCCTGGGGAGGTGTTTGTCATCACAGGGGATAGAGCCAACAGGAGACCTAGGTCAACAAATACACTTTAGCTAGTGTGGGCCAGGTACCTCCAAGCCTGACCTCGGTGGAAATGGGGGAGAATGGGCAGCTGCAAATGTTCCCCCTGTCCACTCGGGGCCATGCAGTCTGGAGGGACTGCTTTGAGGAGTCCCAAACTTATATCCATTGAGGCAGCCTTATGGCCTCTTGGGGTAGTGGAAAGACAACTACAGCCTGTCTCACTGGGCACAGAGAAGGCACTAAATTTAGATATATAAATATAAATAAAGTTAGATATATAAATATAAATCTTCAATCTAGGCCTAGGCTGCTCCACCAAGGACTGTTCCAGGCTTCAGGAAACTGTTGTGAGGGGAAATAGGAAGAAGAAGATAGGGACATTAGGGATCTACTCTGATTGCTCCAAGGACAATGTAGCTCCAGAACCAGGTATTTGTCCTGCCAGATATCTCTGCCTGGGGGTCCAGCCAAAGTAAACAGAGCACCTTGCCCCTAACAGAGTGCTGATCATCAGGACCTGGTATTAAACCCTTGGTCTCCTCTCTCACTCTTCCTTGCATTAGTTACATTCTGCTAAAACTTCATTCTGCTCCTCTATGACTGCTTCTGTTCTGGACCAAGATAGCAGCTTCTTAACTGATCTCCCTGCCTTCCTCTCACCAATCCATTTTCTCATAGTAGCCTGTGCTATTTACAAATGCACATCTGACAATTAACATCTCATATTAATGGAGTGAAGGTTTATAGGGCACCCCACCACGTGCCAAGCCTGTTCTTCACACCAACTTCAAGTCYCAGCATATGAATTCCTGAGGTCACCACTGTCCTTAGTTTACCCTACTGTTCCTGCATTCCTGTGTGACTGCAGTCCCTTCCCTCTCTGCCTCCCCTACTACTTCACACAGCCAGGAGGAGCTGCTGTTGCCCTGCCAGCCATCCGCCACACGTGGCTTTCTAAGCTGTGCCTTTGCACCTGCAGCTTCCTTGGCTCAGTACATTCTGCCTCACCACCTCACTGACTCTTAGTCATCCTTGAAGACAGCTCAGGTATCACCTCCAGAACCCCTTCCTGACTTCCCCCAACACAGCCCTCTCCTTACTGCATTCAGCACTAATCGTCTGTTTCCTTTTCCAGTCTCTTCTAGGAGACTGCTCCAGTTCTAGACACACTCAGCCAGGCACCCAATTGGGATTCAATAAGCCCCTCGTGGGCGCCGAATGAATGAATGAATCTCAGAACCCAGCGGTGTGAGTGAGGGTCCCAGCGTTCGGAGTTGAATAATGCCACTGGTCACCCATTCACTCTTTCATTCATCTTTTAAGCCCCCCCACTCGCCACACTCACCAGCCGGCACAAACGGTCACGGGCGCTGCTAGCCCAGAGGAGGCGGTGGACGGGAAGGGGCGGGGCTGGGGTGACTTCTCCGGAACCCAGAGGCAGAGAAGGCTGCGGGAGAGGCCCGAAGGGCGCCCTAGGTGCCCGGGTCCTGCGACCTAAGTCGCTCTTCCACGCCTTCACACTATCCGCAAGTAATCTTAAGTCCACACCAAGCTGAGACCCGGCGCCTCCGGACCCTGGGAGCCGCAAGTGCCAGGCCGAGCGGATCTTAAGTCTCAACCCGGCCAGAGACCCCCGCCTCCCTCATCGCATCTGTGGGCCGGCGCCTGCACATTCCCCCAACTCACTAGCTAGCGGAGACCTTCCGGGGCCACCCACGCGGCCGCTCCCCGCCCCATGCCCTGTCCATCGTACCTACCCGGCTCGGCTCTTCGGGTGTACGGGCGGGGGCCGGGGCACCCGGCTTGGCCGCCTCGGGAGTCCGTGGCCCGGGCACGTTCTCCCCGCCCAGGGCCCTCCAGGGGCCGGGCCGCCGCCTGTCGTCATCCCGGGCAGGGCCCAGATCCAGGCGCGCGCGCTCGCGCGCGCCCTCGGGCCCCGCCCCACCCTAGCTGGCCCTGGCCTAAGTAAGCCCTAGCCCGCATCCACTGAGGCTTGGTGCCGCACTCCTCAAACAAGCTTGCAGGATGAGGCGCGTCTCAGTCACAAGCGCACACGCTCAGACCCTACAGAAGATCCCGCTCCCTCTGCAGTGCTGGGTGGCAGGGTGCGTCCGCCCCTTCTCATGCTAAAGGCCCTTTACATCCCAAGAGCAAACCAGACGATCCTTTGCGTTCTTGGCTAGGGCAGTACTTCCTCCATTTCTAACTACCTCTTCTGCCTTCACCCATTTCCCCTTCCATCCTATTTGCCTTGAATCCCGAAGTCCCAGTTCCGCGGTACGGGCGGGAAAGGGGAGGCATTAATCCTACTACGCACCAGTTTACTTGCACTACTCCTTTGACCTCAGGGTAGCACCCTCAGCTGCTTGTTATGCCCAGTTCCATAGTCCAGCCTACTGCTGGAAGAAGTATGCAAACTCAGATCTCTGCTTTGAAAAATCCTGCTTCTGGTGGCCCCTAATACTTTATCCCCTGCTTTCACTCACTCCTTTTCCAGTTTCTTAACCACCAAGGATCAGAACCCATCCTTACTGCTCATGTCTTTCCTTGGGGCGTGCTTAAGAGAACTGGTCCGGCCCAGTGGAGACACTGCCACCCTTCCTCCCAGCCCAGAGCATCCCAATCTTACAAGCTTGCATGGTCTGTGGGGATGAACCACGCGGATGATCTCCCCCGTGGGTATCAGCTCCACTTGCAGCGCCATTCTGCTTTGTGGAAAGCCAGTGTGCTGATCGCTGAGCCGGGGCTGAGAAGATCTGCCTGCTTGCCTACTGGTGCTGGCCGATCGGAGGCCAGGAATCTACACTTTCACGCTGGGATGACCACTTGGTTCTGCTTCAACTCCAGCCCCAAGGGATATGGCTGGTCCAGCTCCTCAGGACACAGCTGGAGCAGTCCAGTCCAGGTCTGATTGAGAGGCCTGTTGGCCAGGAAGGTTGGGGCAGGAAGAGGAGGGGCTGAACCATGGAGGAAATGCCTGTTGTCCCAGGTAACCAGAGGAGCTGATGCAGTCACCCATGGGGGACCCTGAGCCTGTCCAGGTCAAAGGGTGGGAGGCCTTTCCCCTTTCTCCCAGCAGCTCCTTGGCTGGGCTTCTCCCATTACCCACTTTCTGGTATTAGCTGGAAAGCCCAGTGACCACTCCCTCAACTAGGAGCTATTTCACCTAAGCCAAGAGGATTGCTTGATCCCTTAGTAGCACTGCCCCTCTTGCATGTCCCTATAACTTGGCTTTCTCTTGAGAGCAACAGATAAGCCACTTTTGTTTTTCAGATGGGGTCTTGCTCTGTTAGCCTAGGCTGCGCAAGCTTGACTGTTTCCCTGCACCCCCTCCCTGACCTTCAGCCCCAATCCCAGCATCTCTTACTCCTAGGCTCAAATGAGCCTTCTGATTTAGCTTTCTGAGTAACTAAGATGTGAAACTACACAGTGCATCCCTGTGCCTGGCATCACTGTGCCAGGCTACCCCTCAAGTTTTATTAGAGGCAGGGCTGGCCATCCTGGGCACAAGGGGCAGAAGGACACTGTGGACAGGCTCCTGTCCTACCCTCCTCTGTCACCCAAACAGGTAACATTGGGAGGTTAGTTCCTGGGTTCCTAGGATATGTGCAACTTCTAGCGGTTTGCTTCTTACTCTTCCACTGTACTCCCTGCCCCCAGTGTTCCTGTTTTTCTATCTTTATTGTTGCTAAATCACAGATGACACTTTCCTGGCCTGGGACTGGACGCTCCAGGCTCCAGCCATTCCTTATAGGAAGTGAGAATGGGGAAGTGGATGGGGGAAACAGTTTCCAGAGGGAGAGGTTGGCAAGGGAGGGGCTGGTATGCACTGGGCTTGTGCTGACACCAACAGCCCCAGGCAGGGATCTTCCCTAGGCACTTTCCCCTTACCTCCCCACAGCTTCCCACACTCACGAAAGGCTTGTAAARCTTCCTTCCTTCCTCTGGGAAGCACATCTATCTAGGGCTGGCTCATCCTTAGTGGTCACACAAAGGCCCTTATCAGCCATGGAGCCAGAAGCAGAGACCCAGCAAACACCAAGTCTCACATATTTCCTGTTTCCACCCAGCGGGTCAGGGGTGGGCCCAGAGCAGCCATATCCTGACTGGAGCCAAGAGGAGGGAGAGCAATCCCCTTCCCTTTTCCGCCTTTCAATCACATGTTGGCCTGACCCATTCCAGTCGAGGGAGCATGGGGGGGGGGGCAGCTTTTCAAAAGGAGGCCAGAACTGGAATGTATGAAGGGGAGAGTGAGCAGGTGAAGAACAGGAGGCCCTGGAGTCAGTTCCAGGGTTACATGAATTTGAATGGGTAGGTGAATATACTGCTTTCTTTTTTGGCAACTGCCCTCTCACAATAATCTTGTGAACAAGTTCACCATTTGTATTTTACTGACAACTGAGACTCTTATGTGGATAGGGTAGGGTAGGACTGAATATGGAACACTGATTCAAACCCAGATGTTTAGATCTCATTCTTGTATTTCTGGTCCACTCCCCCCATCATTAAGGAATCACACGTGTTTAAAGCGACATTTCTTATTATCCTCCAATAGAACAGACAGAACATGGCTCATTAGAAGTTGGGGAACAATTTTTAATCACATGGCTCCCGGGGTAGAGTATAGAATGTAGAACAACTGGAATGACTATCTCAGGTTATAGGATGGATGTTATAGTCATAGAGCAAACTCCCTGAGGTATCTTCTGGGAGAACTATTGAATCACCAGCAGCAGAAGGCATTTGGCAGGAGTGGAATAGGCTATGTCCACATGGCACCTGGAGAATGTTCTCTGAAGCACTTAGGTCAGGTCCTCCAAAATAAAAAAAAATCTTTTTTTTTTTTTTTTTTAATAGTACTGGAGATTGAACTTAGGGGCACTTAACCACTGAGACACACCCCCAGACCTTTTTATGTTTTTTATTTTGGGACAGGGTCTAAGTTACCTAGGACCTCACTAAGCTACTGAGGCTAGCTCTGAACTCACAATCCTCCTGCCTCGGGCTTCCAATTCACTGAGATTACAGGCTTGAGCCACCATCCCTTGACTACAGAATTTTTCAACCCCAGCTGTCCCTTGAAGCTCTCTGCCTGCTTCCAATTCTAGGTTCCAGAGGGTCCAGACAGAGAAGCATTTTCTTGCTCAGGACTCATGACAAGATGAGCTTGATCTGTCAAGGATCACCCTGGAAATCTGTAGCTTCAGCTCCTTTGCCACCTGTCAATCTTTCATAAGAAGGTAAATGAGGCCATGGGCCTAACCTGCCTGCAGGAGCAAACCTAGGGTCTAACAATTCTCTGTTCAAGCCCTGGTGTTTTCTGGGCCAGACTCCACCATGCAGAGGGTAGATTGTGCTGGTAGGAGGACCCTCACTGGACCCATTTACAACCACTACATAAGAGCCTGAGTAGAGGGAACCCTCCATACTCTCTATTTAGTCATACTGCTTCTATTGAAAGCAGGGATCCCAGATCCTCTGATCATCTCCCAAGGGGACAAGCTATGAGATGTCATGACTTCTGAAACTCAATGTTACTTTTGCCAACCAATCTATGGAGCCTGCACAAATATGAGCATCTCCTCCTCCCAGGCTACCTGAGACCCAAGATGGTGTGACAAGAATGCAGGTCTGTGCCAGATGGGGCATGTGTCTGGCAAGTCGGTTTTGGTGGGACTGGATTTGTGGGAAATCAAGAAATGAGATGCAGGCTGGAGGATCCTTCTTCTATCCGGTGGACTGTCTCCAAGTCTTTGCTATTGACAAACTAGTTGGTTTCACTCACATCTCAGCAACAAAAACCTGTATTTAAGTGCTAATACTAGAGCTCTRGCCTGGAGAGAACAAGTCTGGCTAGAGCTTACTTTGGGAGGTGGATAGGTGGAGGATACTTGGTTGGCTGAGGCTCAGGGGTTGGGCCCAGTTCACAGCACCCCTGGCAGTGGTAAGGCAGAGCTGGCTGCCAGCTCAAGCCTCCACCCTGGATTCACTCACTCCCATCTTGGCTCAGAACTTGCTGGGTCTCACCCAAGGGTTCCTCCTCCTTCAAAAAGAAGCGAAGTGGAATCTGTAGGGATAAAACAGATGGCAAAAAATGGAACACAGGCCTTCCTCCATACCTTGCCATCATTTTCACTCCCCACTGGAGGCAGCCCCACAGGAATAGGTTGGCTCCTGGGCCAATGGCCTCTGGGAACCCAACAATGGGCTCAAATCCTTTCTAATAATACCTTTTCCTTTCCTCCACCAGCAGCTCTTACCTTGAAGGGTTTGCTTATCCCCACCACAGAATTCAGATTGTTGCTATAATAACAGAGAAGAAACTGATCCTCAGTCTCAGGGATATTGCTGATGTTCATGTACACCTGAAGGGAATGATGGATAGAAATGGTCAGTTCTAGGGCACTTCCCAGCCCTTAGGGGTAATTTATCCAGCACTCTGTTCTTTCCAGAAGGCAGGACTATTTAGACAAGCCCACCTGCTGAAAATGTACCTGGTTGTTGCATACAATGTGTCAAAATGCATTCTACTGTAATGTATAATGAATTAGAACAAATTTTTAAAAATCATAAATAAAAAATATACCTGGTTGAGGTTGTCACTGAAGGAGATCTGGTTGTCCCTGGCCCAGACATAGGACACGTAGTCATTAACATGGCGCATCCCCACCTATGGGGGAGGGAATTGGGTAGTCAGTAGTTGGGAAGGACATAGGACCTATAGAAAGGGAAGATAAGTCTCACTGATGGGGGGAAGATGGTCTTGCCATTATACTATCTTTCTTCCTCTCTTCCCTGCTAGCCCTTAGGACCTGTGAGATGGAAGACTAAGTTCTTCAGTGTCTCTGCCCAGTTCCCATGAGCCATCAGGAAGGACAGACCAGTGGCTTTGGCTGGTAGGCTCCCCAATTTGCCCACACATCACCTTATATAGTCCAATCCAGTCCCAGGAGCTGCTGTGGAAGTTGGGGGTTGAGGAGTAGCTGACCAACATGTCGTTCTCCATGGTGCACAAGCCATCAGGCATCATGGTGATCAGTGGGACAGTCATCAACGGTTTCAGCTACAACAGGGAGGAGAAGCAGGTTGAAATTCAGTAACACTATTCCCTCCTCTAAGGCAACTGTTCCTCACTGTGCCCTTCCAATGCAGTACAGGGAGCAGGGATACCAGAGCGGGTGGGCACAGAATTTTGTTAAGTCTATCCCAGCAGCAGAAGATCAAAGAAGGTGAGGTTTGGATTTTGGAGTTAGACCTGAGGTTGAATTTGGCTTCCCTGCTTACTAATGGTGTGAATGTAGGAAAGAGAAGCAGGAAGGAGAAAGGGACAAAAACTTGTCAGGGGAGTAGCTGGCCCTGCCAAGGAGAATGGGGTTGAGTGCCAGATGGGAGACACAAGGTGCCCAGTACTAAGGGTGAAAGTGGAGGGAGAAGCGGATTTGCTGAGAGGTTTAAGAAAAAAGTCGGGCAGCTGTTCTCAGGCCTCCAAAGGTTTTGACCTAGAGGCCCAAACCCAATTTTGAGGCAGGGATGCTCTGATAAGAAAAGCTATAAAAACATGGAAGGGCACAATGATGTAGGAAAGAAAAACCAACATGAAAGCTTGAAGGCTGAGAGGGCAGCCAGCAGCTTGGAGGTCAGCACTGTCTTGGTTGTTTGTGAGATGGCAGGATACAGGGATGGAGGGAGCTCCTTCTGCAACTTGATCCAGATAGGTTTAAGACAAATAAAGGAAGTCCTACTTCACACAGTAGGTAATAAACGTAATGGAACTCATTAGTCCCAAGGGAGAGTACCAAGAGGAAACAGAAACCTATTCACAAAGGGCTTGAACATGTTTTTGACAGACAGAGCCATCAAGGGCTCTGAAGAAGAGCTAGGATACCTGACCTGGGAGGGAGAGCAATCATGTCC